TTAGCGGGCATGGTGGCGCATGCCTGTAGTCCAGCTACTCGGAGGCTGAGGCAGGAGGATTGCTTGAGCCCAGGAGTTTGAGGTTGCTGTGAGCCAGGCTGACACCACGGCACTCACTCTAGCCTGGGCTACAAAGCGAGACTCTGTCTCAAAAAAAACAGTAAGAGAAAACAAGCAACATATAAAGGAGCCCCAATTCATCTGGCACAGACTTCTTTTTGTTTTGTTTTGTTTGGTTTTTGTTTTTTTGAGACAGAGTCTCACTTTGTTGCCCAGGCTAGAGTGAGTGCCATGGGGTCAGCCTAGCTCACAGCAACCTCAAACTCCTGGGCTCAAGCAATCCTCCTGCCTCAGCCTCCGAGTAGCTGGACACAGGCGCGCAATGCCGCTAATTTTTCTATATATATTAGTGGCAATTAAAATTTCCTTCTGTTTATAGTAGAGATGGGGTCTCGCTCTTGCTCAGGCTGGTTTTGAACTCCTGACCTCAAGCAATCTGCCCACCTCAGCCACCCAGAGTGCTAGGATTACAGGCGTGAGCCACTGCACCACGGCCGCGATAGACTTCTTAATGGAAATCATACAGGCCAGGAAGGAGTGGGATATTTTCAAAGAAAAAAACTGTCATCCAAGAATATTGTATCCAGCAAAGCTGTCCTATAAATATGAAGGAGAGATAAAGTCTTTACCAGATAAACAATAGCTGAGAGAATTCAACCCCACCAGACGCATCTTACAAGAAATGCTAAAGGGAATTCTTCAATCAAAAAAACACTAATGTGCAAAAAGAAAATATTTGAAGGTATAAAACCCACTGGTAAAATTAAGTACATGAACAAATCCAGAATACTTTAATACAGTAATTGTGGTGTGCAGTCCACTCATAACTGTAATATGAAGCCCAAAAGGCAAATCTATTAAAACCAGCAATACCTATTACTGGTATTAGTATATTGGTATACCTATTACTGGTATAACAATACCTACAGCAACCTATTAAGAGATAGACAATGTAAAAGGATCCAGATTGAGGCAATTTAAAGTCAAAATGTGGGGTGGAGAGAGGTAAAGTGTAAAGGAGTTTTCCCTCCATTTTTTGTTAGTTTGTTTCTATTCTTTTCTTTGTAACCCAAGTTAAGTTGTCATATTTTAAAAATAATTTGTTACATCTATAAGATATTTTGTTGTAAGCCTCTTGGTAACCATAATGCAAAAACCTTTAATAGATTCACTAAAAATAAAAATCAACAAATTAAAACATAATACCAGAGAAAATCACTTAACCACAAAAGCTGACAGTAAGAAAGGAAGAAGAGAGTAGTTACAAAACAACCTGAAAACAAGCAATAAAATGGCTGTAGTAAGTCCTTACTTATCAATAATAACACTGAATATAAATGGACTCTATCAGTGAAAGAATAAAGGCAAGTTATGCATCATATGGATATAAAGTTATATAATAATGATATTTGATAAGATAACTTAATATAAATAATAGTATATTTAATAATATTATTAATTAAATGATAAAATATATAATAAGCAATACTGATTTTAAAGTGTTTCATCTCTAATTGGCCCACAAATCTGTTATGGCCAGTACATGGTAGCTGAGAAAACTCAAGTTCAAAATGAAAGTACAATAGCCATATAACTATATATAAATAACTTATTTATTATTTAGTATTTTCTGGATATGTGCCTTTTAGTTCCTGGACAAGTGAAAACATATTTAACATTGGGAGTCATCTTTTAAACATATTGAAGACTTCAAATAATAATGGCAAATTATTTTGTAATAAATATATAAATTGAAAGGCTGGCCATATATATTTGCATTTTCTTTCTAACAAGCCGATTAATCTATTAGCTTACTGGTTATCTCTTTCTTTTTACTAAGCTATTAAAACAACTTAAACAAATTTTTTTGCATGTCCCAGCAGCCAAATTGAAATTTATAAGAAATAAATTTCTTATGAGGACAGTCATAATTAAGAAGCTTAACACAATGGTGATTTTCACCTACATCCCTACTGGTTAAAGGTTTTTTATAGAGTGTCATTATCTAAGACTTACATGTAAAATGAAGTGTATTGTTGAGGGCTACCGATGTTGGACTTGTAAGAACAAAAGAAAGTCAAATATATTCCCAAAATATAGATATGAGATTTAAATTTTAACCTTAAGTATTTAAATAATTTCATTCAAATAGTGATTTAATATCAGCAGAAATGTTATCACTCCAACTCTCTTCTGTCCTTTGTGTGTTCCCTCTTTTCTTTTAATCTCTCCTCTGTGCTTTCACCATACTGAGTCACCTTAGGGCAAGTCTGCATCTCCCTCCCGAGTATGAATATAGCAGACGCTTTTCACATTTGGAGGCAGAAACACTCTTCCTAAAGGGAACCTTTTGGGTGCCTCCACATTTCTGCTTTTCCAGGCTCAGCATCAAAGGCCATTCTTATCAGCAGTCCTGCCTGTCCTCTTGGCTGCTGTAAAGCTGAAGGGGCCACTGGATGAGTCGGTCACTGGTTACCACATTCAGAGCAATTTCTCAGAGATCATAGCAAGTGACAAGGAATCGTGGTCTACGAAGTTAAAATAAACTTAGGTAGCTTTCTAGGAAAGTGAGGAGAGAGCAGATTTTACTGTAAATAAGGAGTGAATGGAACTAAGTGCCATCTGTGGGTACAGGATGTCTCCAATCAGTCCTCAAAACACCTTGAACTCAAAGAAGTTGTAACATATTTGGTTAGTCTGTATGCTCTTCATTTATAACATGCAAAAATGTGAGTTCATTGTTAGTCAAAATTATCTGCTTTAGGTTTATTTCTAGATGCAATTTATTCTGCAGTGACTTTTACCTCAAAACTCTGGGTTACATTTGTAGGCACAGATGTGCACTGTATATGCCAACATAGACCAAATTTTAAGAGATTAGAAAATATATGGAGGATGCAACACTCTTAAGTATATCAATTATCTGCCACCTCCATCCTCCAACACATGCATGTCCTTGGTTATCTTTCCTTTCCCCCTACTTGTTTTTGAATACATGTAAATAAAATAGAAAAAAGGAAAAATATAAGCATGTTATAAAATACAAATAGACACCAAAAGAAGAGTTGAGTTAAAAAAATATGGAGATTACTACAGATAAAATGCATAAATTTAGATACCAGTGGTTTCACCTATCATGTTGAATTTTTTTTAAAAAATGTATCTTGCAATAAGTATAGGGAACACAGCTAAGAAGCCTTACACAAAAGGCTTTCCACTGTCTTTAAACAGCTCGAAAGCACTTCTCATGTGCTCTGACTTCTGCAGAGTAGTCATGAGCTTATATTCTTCTAGGAACTAGATTTATATTTATGTTAGTACAAACTTAGCTTATAGTAACTTTTATTTTGAGCATCACATTATATTTTAGCTCTTTGTAAGCCTAGTATCCACTCACTCCAATCTTTTTCACATAATCATTATCCTATATTTCGGAGATTCAATTTTTGAATTTAAGGACAAATTGTTCTTTATGACTGCCAAATTTTAACTCATCTACTTCATTTTTTTTTTTTATCCTAGTCAGTTAAGGCAATCATTTGAATCTTGATTCTGTCACTGGTCATATCATTAACTGCAGGAGTTAGCAAACTTTCTCTGTAAAAAGCTAGATACTGAGTATGTTAGGCTTTGTGAGCCATGGGTAATTGTTATGTAGTATTCTTTTTCTTTCATTAAAAAACAAAACTCTTTTAGTTTCCTAGCTCAAGGGCCATACAATGACAGGCCTGGGACTAGATGTGGCCCATAGGTTGTAGTTTGCTGACTTCTGATCCACTGTGTGTTATCTATTGCTGTGTAACAAATTACACATCACCAAGTGACTTAAAACACCAAATATTATTATCTCACAGTTTCTATGGGTCAGGAATCCAGGGTATGGCTTGTCTGGGTGGCCCTGCCTTGAGGCTCCTCACCAGGCTATAATGAGGGTTGGCTTGGGCTATGGTCTCATCTGAGCCTCAAATGGAGTAGCATCTGCCTCTGAGCTTCTCCCGTGATACTGGCAGCATTCAGTTCCTCATGGCTATTGGCCAGAGGTCTCCCTCAGCTCCTTGTCACACGGGCAGCTCACAACATGGCACATGGAATCCCCTACAGCAAGTCATCAAGAGAGAACAAGAAAGAATATGGGGCCGGCGCGGTGGCTCACTCCTGTAATCCTAGCACTCTGGGAGTCGAGGTAGGCTGATCGCTCAAGGCCAGGAATTCGAAACCAGCCTGACCAAGAGTGAGATCCCATCTTTACTAAAAATAGAAAGAAATTAGCTGAACAACTAAAACTATATATAGACAAAATTAGCCGGGCATGGTGGTGTATGCCTGTAGTCCCAGCTACTAGGGAGGCTGAGGCAGGAGGACTGCCTGAGCCCAGGAGATTGAGGTTGCTGTGAGCAAGGCTGACGCCACGGCGCTCTAGCCCAGGCATCAAGTGAGACTCTGTCTCAAAAAGGAAAAAAAAGAAAGAATATGGAAGATGGAAGCCACAGTCTCTTTGTAATCTAATTTCAGAAATGGCACTCACCACTTTTGCTTATTGCATCCATTTAGACGTGAGTCCCTGGGTCCAGTTCACGCACAAATGGTGGAGATTACACAAAGGTATGAATGCCAGAAGGCGGGAATGACTGGGGCCATCTTAAAGGCTGCCTACGACATCTATCCACCCAGGCTCTCTGCAACTTTGAAGAAGCACAATCTGTTTACTCAAGTTTTTGATAAGAACATTGAAGAAAGGGTATTCATGTCAGAGTCTTGTGACATCCCATTTTCCCCCCAGATTGACTCCAGCCCACTGATACTATGAATATTGCCAGTTGCCTGGCTGTAAATTCTCAACTGTGGTGTCATTTAACGTTTTATCACCATACCCTTGGAACTCTCAGGAGACATTTTTGCCAAACATATTTTAAAAATAATGCTGTTTCTGCTTTGTTGAGCAGGCGAAATCAAGTTAAGCTAAGCCTCAAGGACTGTCTTAAAGAATAAAATAAGTCATAGCAATACTATAGCTCAAGGGATGGCATAAATAGAGAGGACCAATTTCATCTGTCTTGTTGCTATGATAGGTAGTTTTAGAGCTGATTGCATCTTATATAAGTCTCAATTTTTTTTAACAAACTGGTGAATCTGCCTTCTCCTCCACTTTCATTTATGTTGTCATAGAAAAAATGTACATTTTCTCATAGAATAGCTAAGAGGTTAAATCAGTGATGAATTGGACTTTGAAAATATTCTGACAGCAAATCACAATCATAGTTTGATTCAGTGATCTTTCGAAATTAGAGAATACCAGTTAGTGATATCTGCTATCTAGATAGCAACCATATACCAATACAATGTTTCTACTGCTTCGAGAAAACAGTATAATGCTGTAACCAGAACAGCCATAAAAGTACCATTGTTTTAATTGCTGTATCACTCAAACTTCAATCTCACTGACAGACCAAATATTTTGCAACTCTTTCCCAATTAAATAATATAATTATTATTGCCTATTGAGTATATACTATGAGCCAAATGCTGTGCTAAACAACTTTATGTGGACCTTCTCATTTATTCTTCCTAGCAACTTTGGGAGGTAGGTACGATTATTGTATGCATTTTACAGAGAAATTAAGCAACTTGCCTGTAGTCATTCAGCTAGTAAATGATGAAGCAAAACTTTAAAACCTAGTAGCCTAAATCCAGAGTGCTTTCTCTTAAGGCAGAGGCACAAATGTAATGTTTGTTTATTTGAGAACTGCTAAGGAAACTTTTCCTAGGAAACATGGTTGAATGGTTTACTAGAGTAGTTCATTATTTCAAGTGTGAAGCCACTAGATGGCAACATTTTGAAAAGTTTTCTTTCTATTGCTTCAGGTGGAAAAGTAGCTCAGGTTTATTATTGGTTAGTTTTCTGTGAATGAATTATTTATCTTTGGCCAAATTATAATTGCATTATTTGCAGGAAACTTTTTCAATGGTGTAATAAAACCGTGGTAGTTTTAAGTGGGACAAAATTGGAATGTTACGTGCTCTTTCTGTTTCTGATTTACTTTAGTTTGAGTTTGTAGATGAGTTCCTATGAAACTTAAAATCTCTTCCTGGAGTTTTTCCCGCATGCCACAGTATTGCCATTAAGTATGATTTGTGTAATATCAAGCATGGCAAACATTTTAATAGCACTTTTCAGAAAAACATTGTGCTATAACAAGCTTTAGTGGCTTTACAAATAAAATTCATACCGTCTGGAATGTACCGCTCCTTTTCTTATATCATAGGTTCTTCTACATCTTTTAAGTCTTAACTGACATATGGACCTTTTTACTCTGTGGTGTCTCTCTCACGAATGCAGGCAGTTAGAGTCTTCTAACGGCACCATCTCAGCCGCATATACATGATCTATCTGAGCCTTGGATACATTACATAAGTCCTAGTGATATACTTACATGTCTATCCTCCCACTTCATTGGGGGCACCTCAAAGGGAGTCTTTTCAAAATTCGTATATGTAACCCTCCCCCCTTCCCACCCCAGTTTCTGTCCACAGTGATTAGCATTGTGTCTGACACTGTAGTTTCTCAATACTTGAACACACAAAAAAATCATATTAACTTATCACAACCTATTTATCTAATCCTCTGCCAGTGGCATTTTAGTTCTTTTCATGTTTGCTATCATGTATTAATTATGTATTAATACAATGCCTTAAAAAAATTATTGTCCCGTCTTTTACACGTGTGAGTATTTTGTTAGAAATTCTAGACATAGAATTTATGGTACATACAATTTTAATCATAGTTGGCATTTGTTATTGATCTTTCCTGCTTGCTAACTGATATGGCTTCCTTGTTTTGGGGACTTCCCATGGAGTGAGCATGGTGGAAGGCAGACTCTATTTTCCACCACAAACACGGAAAGTGTCAATACTTGCTTTCTGAGCTTCCTTTGCACCTAGGGTGCGGGGCACATGGTCTTGCCTCATACTTGGAATTGAGGGCCAATACATCAGAAGAGAGGAATGCTGCACAGCTGTGTAGACCATTACAGTAGGGTTAAATTTTGTAGCAGTAGTTGGAGGCATTTAATATACAGACCCAGCTCTGTTTGCAGTGCAGGCTGCAACAATTGTTTGGTGAAGGCCACAGTGTGGTTCTTATTAGACCGTTTCTATGGTGTGATTTTGGGCCTTGATTTTAGTGCAAAGCCTTGTCCCTAATTGTTTAGGCTTCCTAATGAATCTATGAGCTACCCCAAATCTTTTTAATAATGTCCTATTCTGTCTTCATCAGTTTAACTTGGTTATATTTTGTTTCTAACTAAAAATGCTAACTGATATAAATTGGTATCAGGAGTGGGTTGGAAGTGTTGTTTCTAAATAAGCTGAACAGTTAAAAAAAAAAAAGAATGACATTCTCAAATTTCTAATTTGGGGAAGAGATTGAAAACCAGCTAAAAGAATATCTTCTCTCTTGCAGCCACAAAGATCAAACTCAAAGTTTAATTTTGTAGGTTTCCCAATTCCAACCTCAGCTGAATTCACAGTCTTACCTGGTGTTTTATGTGAAAGTTATAGTTGGATAAAGAAAGAGTGCTATACTACCCAATTGCTACCCAGTGCAATGCTACCCAATTGGAATGGGATACATGGAAGGACTTAATTTTATTGACTCAGAACATGCTGACTCCTTTGCTCCACAAAGACTCTGACTGCCTTGCCTGCAGAGGGCTTATGTTCATCTGACTCATGAGACTGTTCTTAGTTTGCTTGAAGAATCCATCACAACCCTGTAGAAGGAGATCATCTTTCAGGAGGAAGCCAATTATCCTCCTGCTCAATCCCTAGCATTCATTATCTCTAGATCAATAGTGAAAGCCAGATCCTAGCTTGAACTTGTGGTAGGGGAGTGAAATTACAGTGTCATCTCCAGGATGATAAAGCTTATATTTTAAAATAATTTAAGAGAAGATATTATTTTAGTTCAGTCATGTAAAAAGAGATTTGGCTAATTTATAGGTATAAGTAAGGGAAGGATATAACTTAAGGTGTAACTGAATTTATCAATATGGGTAACCTTATCAGAAATTTGATTTATAATAGACTAGCTTAAACATATGGGGGTAACTTTAATTGCTTCCTCTTATGTTTGACTGAAACCTAGAGAATAGCTCATATGGACAGAAATTGACATACTGTAAAGAAGAAAAGAGGAAAGAATTAAAAGACTTAGAATGTAGAAATGTTGGATTAATTTGTTATGTGCATTCTGTTCTCCTGACTCCTAATTCAATCCCTCAAAAGGGTTCAGAAGATAACCTCTTCAACAAGTCCTTTAGAAATACATTAGAAATACATCTTGAAGGCTCCCTTGATTTCAGTGAGAATGAGAAGATCCTAAGTTGACAGAAGCTAATTAAAAGATCTCATTCTTTCTCCATTGAATGGTCTCGGCACCCTTGCTGAAAATCAGTCGACCATAGATGTATGGATTTATTTCTGAACTCTCAATTATATTACATTGATGTACATGTCTAACCTCATGCCAGTACTACATAGTCTCAAATACTGTAGCTTTGCAGTAAGTTTTGAATGGTCATCCATTCCCCAATTTGTTTCAGTTTTGACATTTGCTCATAATTTTCCTGGGTTTTACTTAAGAGGTGATTGATATTAATATACGCTTATGATTTGGAATTTTATGGTAATAGACAATAAAGCATAATGATTTGGGGCACAGGTTTTAGAGTCAGTGAGCTCTGGAATTCAAACGATTGTGCCACTTACTAGATGTGTGAACTCATAGAATCCTCTGTGCCTCAGTTTCCCATCTTAAAATAGGAACAATAATACATTGATGGATTTTTGTGAGAATTAAATGAGCTAATACATGGAAAGTGCGCAATAAAGGTAAGTTTGTTTTTTTTTGAGGCGGCGTGTAGATTTTCATTACATGTTCACCATGTGTACAGTGGCAGTTTTAGATGTGGCTGTGGCTGTATCTTGGCTTCTACTCCAACTACAAAAATAGCAATAAGCTTCCATGTATTTGGAGCTCATTTTGCAACAAATGTGAAAAACAATGAATCCATAAGAGGGGAGAAGTTACAGCAAAACTGCAGGTGCAGCAGTGTGGGGAAGAGGCAAAAAAAATCCCTGCAGGGTCCTTTTCTAGGAGTTTAAGAAAAATTTTTTCTCCAATAATTCTTTTAAAATAGTTTAAGTGGTTGGTCTGCCTGCGAAGTCTTGCCACCTCTTTTGCAGACCTCAAGGAATGTATGTTCAAATAATTCCTTGGAATCCTTTCTAAAAGCTTATTGTTGAGTGTGGACCTCCATGAGACAGAGCAGGGTAGGTTTATACTTAACCTGTTTCCATCCTAGATCATAATTTCAGTTATATTTTTTGGCATCATTTTTTTAAAAGGCATAAATCTTTTAAAAACAATAACAGCAAGAGTCCTGAAGACATAGGCTAAGCATGTAGCAACTTCCAGCTTGTAGCAACAAATCTACTAATATCAGGCATCAACACTGAAAAAAGGTCTGGTCTCCCTTTTTGTTATTTTTAGAAAAATATTTGTTAATCCTTTTCCCTTTTATGTTACTCCTGGGAGGAAGCTTCGAAGACCTCATCCGCAAGAGTGACAAGACAAGCGTGCCGGGGATAGGGAGCAGCCAGTGCCGCAACACAAGGTGGCGCTCCTGTCTCAGTGAGCGCAGAGCAGTGTTCGCATTAGACAAAGGATGCAAAACTCCAAAAGGTGTGGTTGTCCTGGACGCCACTGGGGACCTGCCAGACAGACTGGGGAGTTGACCAGGCACAGAGCCCGAGGTGGCCTTTCGTAGTGGACTGGTGCAACAGTGCCGGGGGGGCAAAAGCAATATAGCAACAATCTAAGAAAGGTAAGAACGAGTGTCTGAACAGTATACTTATTATTAATAGTTGCCCTTATTATTTATTTTAGTCTTTGTAACAATCACCTTTACCCTGCTGCACCGCACACATGCCTAAAACAAATATTAGATAATAATATTTCTACGTAGAAATAATATCTCCCCTTGGTCTTCAGGATAAAACCTGGGGACTGCTTTGTCTCCAGTCAATTTTCACCACTTCTTTACTATTGAAATGTCTGAAGTTCCTGAAATGCATCCTGCTCTCTTGCCTCTGTGATTTTGCTCATAATAGTATTCTAACTGGAACTTTCTTTTTCCTTTCATCTTCATGGATGATTCCTGCTCCTTCCTTCTGATCCAGCACAGTAGCGCCTCTTCCCAGAAGCCTCCCTGACCGCCCCCACTGAGTAGGAAGGTGAGGGCTGAAGCTGGTATATGTAAAGTGCCTAACAGAGTCTGGGTACCTAATAGATGGTGTTTATTCTTTTCATACAAGTCCAATAATTTTAGTCTGTGTATATAGCCATCATTTTTATTTATGGATTCATGAGTATTTACTATTTTCTGGGTCCATCTTCAAGTTGATTTTGTCTTTATTGTTACATACTGACCAGAATGCCACTTGATATTCCCACTGTGAAATATTCCCCTTTATGCAAGTTTAAGATGACATTTCTGTTTTGCTTCCATGTTATTCCTGATTAATTAATTCAGTAAACACATTCTCAGTATCTATGTATAAGAAACTGTTCTTAGCCCTAGGAGTATAGAACATAAAAATGGATAGCATAGTGAAGACACTTATCATCTACTGATTCTTAATATTTATTGTTCTCTAATATTACAATATTAAATAGTGTCATTGCTGTGAAGAAAAAAACCTGATAATAGTAATGTTTTTCCTGGATATAGTTTGTTTTCTGCTATTTTCTACCCATAGTTTATATTATTAATTTCCAAAAGAATTAATCCTTGCCCACAGTAAAGCTCTTAGCACTTCTCTGCTAATTAACACTGCCTTAGGAGAGACTCTGAACATGCAGTATTATATCTTTGGTTTTAAAAAACACACTTAGAGGGACTTAATATCTGCTATAAAATTTGTTCCCTTTTCAAGGTCTAATGTGAGTTGTGAACTAAGGCCTCTTCATAGTCAGCGTCCTGGCAAGATCAGAAGGCACACTCAAAGTATTATTTGAGACGAGAACATCTCACAAATGTGGGGGCAGAGTTTAGAGAACCAAACTACGTTAAGGCTAGCAAAATGGGGAGACAGTATTACTCCCTGGCCCAAAGAAATAGGAGGGAGGAGATACCAGGACTCAGAGAAGGTGGCTCTTTAGTGAGACTGCCCAACCAGAGCTGAAGCTTCCCACAGAGAGATGCAGCCAATTCACATCGGCCCAGCAGGCAGGAGGAAGGGAAATTAGTGTCCTCACCCCGTTCTCCTACCACCCCCAGCCTTCCACCAGGCCTTCCATCGACAGAGCCCTGTGGAATCTAGAGGGCAGGGTGTGCCGTTGATGCCATCTGTCCAAGCAGGTCAGCTGCCTGTGGCATAGACCACGGTAGAGAAGAGTGTGGTGTAGATCTGGAAAAGCGAATGAAAGAAACCCAGCACAGCTCTTAACTTGTCCATAAACTGGGAGACCCAGCTCTTCATATTTTTTTAATGAAAGGAAATATCAATTTATGTCTACACTTTCTTGTCATGTCTACAGTTGAATCTCCATTTCATGAAAAAAATATCCTTTCAATTTTTTTCCAGTTTCAATTCAATCAATATTTATTGCATCCTTCTTTGAGCAGATGTGAGGGTCAGAGATAAAGGCACAGTCCATAATCTCAAGAGTCACTCCATCAGGTAGGGATAAGGGAAATAAATAGTATCTTACGAAGTACTGTAAACATGAGGTATTGGATGGAAGTGCAGGGGCAATGGAGTAGACAGGGTGGCTACCCCACATTATGGGTTGCTGGGAAGGCTTCCTGGGGGAGGTGACTTGGCCATAATCCTTGCACAAGTTTAATTGTTCGGTCTCCCATCATTCGCTTGTTTGTTGAGCTCTTATTTAATCTTTCAAATATAGTAGATTATATAGTTATGAGTTTTCCTTCTTATTTTCCAATTTCAGCTTCTTCAGTAAGCATGCTTTGCTAGGTTGCTTAAAATGGATTAAGTAGGAGCTGGGTTAAAGACATTCTATATAGGCACGATTACTTGTGCAAAAAAACAAAAACAAATAAAACCCTGTCTGCATAGGACATGCTAATTAGTACATGCAGTTAAAATTTAATACTCTTGTGAACCATTAGGAACATAAATGTTGGGGCACATTCTGATTCCTGTCTTTGGATAAACTACAAAGTATGGATTACCTTGTCAAACGGCATGAATATTTTTATGGTTCTTGATACATTGCCTTTGGAGAGGCTGTACACTATTAATATTACCATAAACAGTGTATGATGGCACAAATGTCACACACTTGCACTATCACTGTGAAATGATATATTTATTTGTGACATATTCTAATTTTTGTTTTCTTCTTCCTGTTTGACTGGCTGTCTGTGTCACCTTCACCGTGGCAGTGGCCCTTTTTTTGTTTTTTTTTTGAGACAGAGTCTCACTCTGTTGCCCTGGCTATAGTGCCGTGGCGTCAGCCTAGCTCACAGCAACCTCAAACTCCTGGGCTCAAGCGATCCTCCTGCCTCAGCCTCCCGAGTAGCTGGGACTACAGGCACACGCCACCATGCCCAGCTAATTTTTTTATATTTTTTTAGTTGGCCAATTAATTTCTTTCTATTTTTAGTAGAGACAGGGTCTCAGTCTTGCTCAGGCTGGTTTGGAACTCCTGACTTTGAGCGATCCTCCCACCTCGGCCTCCCAG